AGAGATGTCTTTAAGCACTCTTTTGACTGCAGTTCTTAAACATACTAAAATGAAAGGTCGGGATATTGGTCTGCTCTATCCACTTAAGAGAGACAAGAAACAGCAGTGCATTCATTGTTTATCTTTCTCCCTCTCCTAACAGTAAAAAGTTAGTTTTCTATATAAATCCCCCCTTTTCAAAAATATAAAGCTGGACTGAGAAACTGAGGTGAAAATGGTCAAAGGCAGTAGTAACTTCTCACTCCACCAAGTGAATTTTCTTTATGAGGATTAACAGCATAAACCTAACTTCCACCTAGATCATTGATCAAAAATGAATATAAATAGTCTCTCTCCCCCCTTTCATTTCTCCACTTTGCGGGGAGATTTCCTCAGACAATCCAGCTAAACATAAATTAAGAGGGAGTTCAGATGTTACCCTGGAGCCTACTGTCAATAGTGAGAGACTTCCACTCGAGAAAAGCAGAAAAAAACTGCATTTTTTTCCTTCTGTTCTCTCAGTATTTCTTTCCAAAGCTGTCTGTGACACACACACCAGAAATATATAGAAACATCTGAATATTTACTTACTCATTAGCATTCAAGCTAGCTGTGGCTTTGATGATCATGTAGCAGAGTGTGAGGGCACTGAGGAGGCCAAAACTGGCAATAATAAACCATTCTTCTGTTGACAAAGGAAAGGGAGGAAATCACTCGTGGGAGAAGGCTTATGTCAAAGCGATGCCAATTTTTCCCTCAAACACCACTGGCGGAAGGCAAGAGGTTTCTAAGCCATGACTGGCACCAGGAAGTGAAGCAGAAGGAGGTTAGCCACAGAGTTACTGACTGGAGAAGGCTAGCAAAGAAGAAGCGGAGAGAGGTGTGGAAAAAAAGCATGGCACAACAGTATTTCCCGGCTGAGGCCAAAGGTTAGCGATAAAGAAAGCTTTCTTAACAATGCAAAGTGAAATGCAGAAACAAGGGAAAATGTCATGAAAACTCTGTCCGCCCCCAAGTCAGAAAGAAGAGTGTCAGGGTTGGTTTAGGCTTGCCGAGATGTGTCTCTTCACATAAGCACATCCAATATATTTTCACACTTTTAATTTATTTGTGTCTTTGCCCCCTAACCGCCTCCCCAAACAAATGCTATAGTATTATTTTAAAACGAAAAATAGGACTTATTCAACAGTGAAGCATAATTATTAGTGTTCTCAACTTAATAGAAATACAACATGGAAAAAACATTGGCATTTCAGTGTTAATGTACACAGACACTTTAACAAATAAATAAAAAGAAATATAACTAATGCTCTTAAAGAATGTTCACTATTCAAAGTGTTATTCTCTCCCCTCAGGATCAAATTTGGCACATAGTAATAGACTGGAACACAAACACTCTTTTGCTGTATATGGCTTTTGGTTTAACTCATACGCATCAAAGAACGCATGTGTCATCCATAAAATCTAAACATTTGAACAGCCTTTTCTACAGCTTTATTTTATAAACATTGTCAGAATGAACTGTTGCTGATATTTCTTGTTTTACCCTGGCATCCCATCTGTGCAAGAGAAGTACTACAATCGGGAACACGCAGTCAAAGCACCTTCTGTAAAACCAGGAGGTTATGAGGTTTAACTGAAACTACCGAGTTTCCCTCCACCAATGACAAAGAAAGCTGCACACCAACAGATTTTTCTGTGTTAATAGAACTGAATATGGGAAAATTAGATGTTGAACACTACAGAACAAAGTGACTTATTGTTTTTGCAAAGGATCTAGATTCTATGCTTGGATTTTCCCTTCTCAGACCAGGACACTTATGGACATGGACTGTGTGTTTCATAAGAAAAGGGTTTTTTTTTTTTGTTTTGTTTAAATGATACATTTGTTTTGTTGTAGTGTCTAAAGAAACACTCTGTAATGGACTGCATCAGTTGCACTGCTTTTTATACGTATATTGGTGATAATGGCACCAAGTGCAAATCTAGATAATAGATACACATAAGGAAAATACAAGGAGAAAATTAAACTGCTGTGCTGCATGGATTCCATTTTTGTAATGCAGCCAGAAAAACAACCATTCACACATCAGATTGAGAGTGTTCAGCATTTGGAAATATGATGCACTTTCACACATACAGTATTCACTATAGGACTTCTTATACATTAAAAACACCAGCTAAAATCTATTAAGTTGAAATTTCCCACACTGCTTTTTCGGATAAGAGCTCGCAAACAGTGCAGGAACAATTTTCTGATGTCATAAAACACTTGGCAATACTCAGCACATCAGATGCTTTTTAAATTCACAAATCTCGTAAGAAAAAAAATCACTAGGGGATATCAGAATTCCAGTAGTAACATTCTCAGGGGAAAAACGCTTGCAGAAACAGTAACCAGCTAATATATTTATATATGGATAAATTACTCCATGTAAAGTATTCTGAGAGAATAAACAATGTTTTTGGCAATTCAGCTTCTTACACCGGTTACCAAATGCAGGAGGTTTATTTTGTTGTCTTTTTAGTTCATCCAGCGTTCTTTGTTCGCAGATCTAAATGGATTTTCCATTAATAATGGAACTGTTGGCACTGTTGTACCTAGAGTTATCCGTTTCAAAACGGAGTATATGCTTCTTACAGAGACACTGAGGTCACCTTTGTCTCTGCAAGGAAATCTTTTACCACTGCCTCGCAGCACAGAACCATAGCAAAGCAAGTGCCACATACCAGGAAAAACAGAGAACTGTAATGGAAGCCAAAGAAAACTTACTTGTCACAGCAATGTTGATCTCTCCTGACCTTGGAGTCAGTTCTCCGTCCTGTGGAAGTTGTGACATCCCAGAGGTGCGCAAGGGCTCCAGGCTGAGAGAGCTGTCATTGGCAAAATCGCCAAGTGCTGATCGTCTGTTAGCTGGCTGGCCCCTGGTGAGCCTTTCCATGTCAAAGGCTACGTTATCTGTACATGGAACGTTTGGCTGAAAAAACAAGAAATTCCACATTAAAATGGTGAACGTTCTACATGTAGAAAACCTATACATTGAGTAAAACCACACACACACATTTTATTAGGCTGCTGAGACTCTCCTCAGATCATACAGGAGAGAAACACGTGATTTGGCAAATTCTAGCTGAAGTTGCCCCTTCAATCAAGTTAACTTCACTGCGAAGCGTAGGAGGAAGAAGCAGGAAATAGGATTAAGGTTCAGGAAAGGGCCTTGAATACGCTTGTATGACAGCCTACGCATGCCTGTATCGTTTACTACTTTGAGCAATGATTAAGTTTCCTCTCTTTGAACTCCACTTTCACAGTAGGAAGGTCTTGCATAACATGCACCAACTTCTATTGTTTCTTCCTCTAAAATTTCAGGTATGTTGTTAATTGCAAAAATAGCTTATGCACAACACACCTGCAACTATTTTTTTTATTTTATTTTTTTAAGAAACTGTGCAACTTTTAAATTGACACGGCCAGAAATAGAGGCCTGATTATTCTCTCACTGTGCTTGATTCAAAAGCTGCTTTAATTAGTGCAAAATTATCCAGTTCCCACGAACAAATATCTTCATATTCTCTCCTCTTTCTCCCTTATTTTTTTTCTTCTGAGAAAAGCACAACTCCCATCCTCAGAGGTTTCTCCTCATATGGGAAAACCAGAAAAATTATCTTTGAGGCCCTTCTCTCCTATCCCCTTGTGAACTGGTCAACAAAAGCAGTCCCGAGAGACCCCCTAACCCATGAGCTGCTCTAAACACAACTGAGGAAGACTAGCTGGCCTCGGCTAATGCACGCTGTGCAGCTTTGGCCACGGCATTTACCGTATACGCAGATCTGCGAGTGTCTAGAGGAGGCCACAACGACAACAGGAGGTTTAGAAAGGAAATTTAATGAAGAAAGGTTGAAAGAAGTTGAGAAAGGGGAAGAATATTCAACAGATAAGAAATAGTTATAGATGGGCATATAATAGAATAATATTCTCAAAGACCAACCAGGGAAAACAACAACAAGAAATCAGCAGTAAAAATACTAAATTCTTCTTAATACTAGGCATTAGGAAGAGCTTTCTGACTAAGGGCACTGGAATACCCTTCTCCCTTTCTCCCCTAGAATCATTCTGCATACTCTGCGTCTCAGACGCGGCGGGAAGAGGAGCTCACAACAGCCTAACTTACCACAATTCCCAGGGCCTTCAAAATGTTCAGTTTGCACATGGGACACGTACAGTGTTCACTAAGCCACGGATCCACACAGGCTTTGTGGAAAACATGCCTAGAACAACAGACATGGCACGTATTATACAATATAGAATGGCTTGCTAATCATAAGAGAGCTATTTTAACAAACTTGTAAGTGGTTGCCTTTTTAACCAAGTAAACAGAACAAATTCTAGAATTGCCAGTTCTGTGCCGACTGCAAAAAAAAAAAAATTTAAAATTCTTCCTTGTTGTTACCACCAGTTACTAAGAGCTCACAAAGAAAATACGCTTCAAAGGAGAGGTGGGTTTTTTTTTTTTTGCCTTTTTTGTGGATATGAGTATGCACATGGACAGAATAATGAGGGCAATGTAAATTCCCCACCCTAACGTTGTATGAAGCTCCATCTCAATTTCTTTTAAGAATGTAATCATAAATGAGGTAAGAAGAGCACAAATCCGTCAGAAATCTATTTTATTGAAAAGTCAGCCTATCTACAAATTTAAAAGGCAAACCAGATATACTTATGCCTGATTTTGTAAGGGCTTTTATAATAAGCACATCTGAATGAAAAGAAGAAACAACATTTTAAAAGGCTTTTTCCTACAATCAGTGTTTCTTGGTACCTGGAAAGAAAACACGTCTGTCATCATATGACGGTCATAGAAAAGCAAAACCCTTTCAAAGATGAAAAAGCAAAATAGGCTTCTACCTTCGCAGCAGGCAATTCTGTGCTAGTGAACAGTTTGAATTACCACCTACATGGCTTACAAAATCTTTTAGTCATGTACATGAATACAAATGTAACAGTGTTGGATTGATATAAACTAATATAACAAGAAAGTAATGCGCAGGGACCGTAACAACATATCTAAACTAATGGAACAGATTTGTTCTCCTGGCTTTTCAGACAAAGAACTTTAATTTAGAGCATGCATACTCATGGCAGAAATGGGTATCACTAGACTTTACACATGATCTAGATTTAGCAGAATAACTTAATCTGATTGACTGCCCATGGTAAGAACCTAGATCTTGCATTTCCAGCGGCACTGGCTGCAGAACCTCCTGGAGCAAAAAGAGCAGGGGTACCTGTACACAACAGACCAGTGATCACGACAAAGATCAGCAAGCGGAAGGGCTGCTTAGCCAGCAAACAGCTTTGCTCTAAAACGAACAGGCAAAGGGGTAGTGGCAGAACAAGGTGTTCTTGACACCTATTTGAGGCATCAGCACAGTCTGTAAGGGGTCATGCACATCCCTGAGACAGCATAAAGATGAGGTGCTCTTTCTCCTCTCCCAGGTTACATGTGCTGCTCTGTACCTCAATAAGCTCCACATGGAGTCTGGGACTTTTCCCTCTCTATCCCACAGCATTTTAAAAGCAGAGACCAAATAAGGCATGCTATCAGATAATTAGCTTTTAAATCTCCAGAAAGTCACTTGGGAGAATGGCATCCTGAAATTGTTAATAAGCATGGAACGAGACAGTATACAAGTATTTTTTGTCTACAGCTAGTAAGACTGATGGAGGTATTAAGGTTTATCAATGTAACAGTTCCAGTCAGCTATAGCTATACATTCCACCTGCATTAAATGAAGCTGCATCAACTTCAATAGTGCAATATAAGCAATAGAAGAGGGAGGGAAGAAACTCTGCCTATCTGTATCCCAGACAGAATTTGCAGGAACCGAACCGTGGAAGATGAATGTGTTATTAGCCATGGAGGTATGCTGAAGCTGTAATCACAGAACAGCATAACAGCATTTAATGTGTTTCTACTGCCACTTTTCAGAAGAGAACAGCGTTACTTCTACATTCATGGTTGGTCTGCTATGCAGCACAGGAAGCAAACCTCTCTGCACTACGTGGTGCGTGAGCATTGCTGAACATGCCAGAATGTTTTGTCAGGCAAATTTAAGAGTCTCAGCTAGTCACTTTGCTGGACTGTCTCCTTTAGCAATAGGGTAATAAATGACGAAAAACAAGATACGTACATTGCTCACTGTTCAAATAATTGTACAAAATACAGACTTATTTCTATTGTTGGTTCTTATCACACTCATTTTATTACTCATAAAACTACAGCAAACAATGTTTAGAAGTCGTCTGGTGATAAAAAAAATGGTTTGAAACCTACTGATACGTATAACGATGCTATTGTTCTGTGTTAGACAAACTGTGGCTTTTAGTTGCTTATATTTCCTTTTAAGATTCTGAAGTCTGTTTTAGAGTAGGGCAAATCTGAAAATCTAATATTTTGTGAAACGGCAGACATCAAGACTCCACAGAAGTATGAGAACAGCTTTAATATATCGTTATCAGCTAATCAGAGCTTAGTGCTGTAAAAGCACTCAGATCAAGTGAAGTAGTCTATTGATGTGGATTCCAACATGTATTGGCTAAATATTATGAATGATTTTAAAGAGTCATTAGCAGTTTGATACAGTTCAAATGCACCAGAACAGCTCAACTATTTTTGTGACCTCATCATTCTTTGCTTGCAGGTCCTAAACCTTCATGGATGTTTATTAATGCGTTTTAAAGAGTACAGTTCCCTAAAAGTTATGTATTGATTTAAATCAGCATGGCTCTGTCTACTATTTATGCTGTTTATCTACTCCTTAAAAAGTTTGCTGATACCATCATCAGGGCTGAGGCTCCATCTGGATTTCTGTCTCCAAGAGTAAAGAAGCAGCTATAAAGCGATTAAGTTAATAAACACATGAATTATTTTTAAAACTCGGTTTGACAAAGCAAGCCCTTGCATTTTCTGCCATTGTAAACCTTCTCCAGTTTCATATTTGTCATTTGTTCAATAACAAGCTTTCAAAACCATAAATCTGAAGAGTTCCTAGCGAACTGCTCTGTGTCTCAGTGACTGACTACACTCCCGTAGGAACCAGACACCAGGGAGTCAAGTGTGATACAGCTTTTGCTGCTTCTCCTCCCTCCGGGCAGGAGGGAACAAGCCCAGCAGTCAGCCCAGCCCGCTAGCACCGAAGGAGTCCCCCATGCGGGCATGGCTGCAGGCAGGTGACCTGCAGGTATTTTTCCACTCGGTCAGCACATCCAAGCCTATTGGCCTCCAGCAGGTAATAAACACCCCAACCCTGACTCTCTTGTACAACAGGACTTCTCTGCAGCGTTCAACAGAGGAAGAGGGAGTTCAAGTCACTCTTTTGGTGGTGGAATGCCTCTAAATCAGCACGTAACAAAAGGGGAAGCCTTAGAACATGTTTACAAGTGCTATTTCCCTAGAGCTCGCTACATTATCTACTCTATCCCAGGGCAGCAGACCAAAGAGACTTAAGCAATGTGCTGCCTTGCAGAGTAACATCCCTGGCCTGCTGCTGCTGCTGCTGCTGGAGGCAGCTGCTCCACTCGGCCTACGGCATGATTCCTCCCAGCTGGGCAGGCAAGCAGCACACAGGTGCTTACCGTCCTGCTGCGGGCAGCCTCTTACAGCCAGCAAATCCGAGCAGAGATGAGCGGCCGGCTGCAGCAGGGAGGAAGGTGCCCTCCACCTCCCAGCAGGCAACGCCAGCGCACAGCAGCTTTCGTACCTTCCACGAATACTTAGCATTGCCAGGAGGAGAGAGACTGCCATCATAAGCAGGGTAACAGAAAACGGGGGTGGTGCAGAGGCTCTGCAGTAAGGGGCAAGGATGGCAGTGAGATATTGTGTTAATTGGCTCTCTTTTTAAAAAAAAAAAAAAAAACCCACCCACAAAACCCACAAGCAGCTATTTACAACAGCACAGAATAAAGCAGGTGAAAAAGTGGCTTAGTCACTTTCACTGCTTTCCTCCTTTGTGCCCAGTACAGGAAATGCAAACATTTGGCTCAGAACACGTTTATTTTAACATAGCCACTTCCCATTCAGCCTTGAGTTATCTTCTTTTACTTCTGCTTTCACTGCCCTACTGCTCTCCTTTCTTTTCTCTCTCAGATGTTTGCTACTCCTTTAATTCTTTCTGCCTGGTGGATTCCTTCCTTCCCAGGCCATTTTTCTGCCCTTTCCAATGTCATTCTCTGTGCTTTTTTTCTAGCCTGTCACTTTGCTCTCCCCCTCCTTTCCCTCTGTCTTTATCTTTCCTACACACCAGCTCTTTCCTGATCACTTTTCACACAGTGCCCATTCATCTCCTAGATGCAGCACTGCACTGGTAAAGTAAAACTCCCTCTGAATGAAGAAAATTATCCACGAGGCTTGTCTTTTGTTAGAGTCCTTCTGACATTTGCTTACGCGACTTATTTTTAACTTATATAATATGACATTCACAAAGAAAGAAATGTTTCTTAGGCCTCCTAAGTCTGAAAACAACCACTTCTCTCTGTGCTGAGGTGGGCTGGAAAGAAGAGGGCTGTTTTATCCCTTCTGTGTACTAAAAAGGGCAGGCCTGCCTGTAGGTTGCTGGTACTGAACATATTTCTCTCTGAGGCACAACATGAATGATACAGATTTAACTGCATTGTTTGCATCGATTATTTTCAGTTTTTTTTTTTTTTTTGAATTTGCCACAATTTCCCACCTGCAAAACACTTGCCATCACAAACACGATGTTTTGCTACAGAATTTAGGTGCAACTTGCTCAGATGGCAGCAGCAATGCCTACTGTTTGCCCGTCCAAGTTGGACTCCTCTCTACAAAGGCAGAGTGCCAGACCATTAACTGGGGATAACAATTCTGGTGGCTAACAAAGGGAAATGCTACTTCTACATTGAAGAAATCAGCAAGGATGCTCTATGTCAGTGATCCCTACTGTCTAATGATTATAACTTCCTTCAAAAACAGTTAGACACACTCCTAGCCTTTCATTTACCTCCTCTTGGTCAAGCCATTTTCCCTATGGTTTTCTCGCAATTTATTTTCTCATATCTCGCTGAGAGACTGCCTTGCAGATGTTATTTTGTTATTAACTTTGCATGTTGTGCTCAAATGAGAGGCTGAAAAGTAAGGAAGCAGAAAAGGATTAAATCTCCAAAACAAGATTTTGAGAGATGCTTCTCAGTGGACTGAACAGTTTTACATGCAATCTGAAATTTATTGGGCTCATCTCTGCAGGTACTGGTTGGCCCCTCGTCCGTTCTACAAGCGTAATAACGTCCTGTAGAAACTATCCATCTCAATGTTCCTGTCTAAACAAGACGTTTTTGCCCTCAACACAAAGCTGAACTGCAGCAGACAAACTGAGATTTCAAAAAGAGAAGTAGAAAGTGAACACAAAGTCTTCAAACAGCTTTCAGCAAGAATGTAATGTGAGCCTTCAGTGACCTTATATTATTGTGAAAAGCAGAACAGAAAGGATCTACATAAGAGCCTTGATTTCTCCTTACATGGAGAGACTGAACTGGGAGATGCTGTGCTGAGATGGCAGCCAGGTGCACCTTCATGCAGCTCCCCGAGGCAGCTGTAACCACCCCCGAGGGCAGGGAGCTTACTGTCTGCAGGACTGCGGCTCACAAGAAGTGTTGATTAGTGCTGTGCAGACTGATTACAAACAGTTTCTTTTTGGATCAGGGGTTCTGTCTTGCACATAGCTTTCTCAGCTGTAGCAATGTACGTTTAGGACTTCTGCAGAGCAACCCCTCCAGTGACAACTCTCCAGCATCCAGATGGTCCGCTGTACTCAACTCAGGTTAACTAGAGCACCTAGCTCGTGTTCTGCTACAGTTGGCTTTTGAACCTTATTTCACCTTGCAATAACTCAATATTACAAATATCAGTACGACTAGCGTGGGATGAAAGGATCAGAGGTCTTCAGTATCAGAAAGGCAGAGAGGAAGAGGATTTGTGAACGTTCATTTCATACTATTGAGACTCACAGTGCCACCCTGAAGTAGAGAAGTGAAGCTTTTTACGAAGAGGCAGTTTATCAGTCAACTTAGTGGTTCAAAACTGGTGTGCAATGAGTTTCCAGAAGCTTCTCCTCTAATTTCCAGATAATCTTCATAACAAAGCAAAGATTAGGGCTTGAACTCACATACTAGTTTTACTTGAGATTATAACATATGACATAAAGCCCAAGTAAAAATTTCAGAGAGTTAGGGGTAATATATATATTTTTTTTAAATGGGGCAAGAGGATATCATCTTTAAACGAGTAAAAACGACTGAATTGTAAATAAAACCAACCAACCAACACCACGTACATCTGTTGGACCAAAGCCTCCTAAATCTTTACAGATCTAAGACCAAGCTCTTCTATTTCCAAATATTTTAATCCAAGTTTCTAAACAAACATTTGTAGGTTAAATTAATCAAACACAACATTGAGCATCTAAAACATTTGTTTCCACTGTTAAAGAGGCAAAGAAAATTGAGAAAAGTACATTGAAATTAAACATCTAGCTTCAGAAGTAGAATACATACTTTATGCATCATATTTTGATCAACACTATACAAATTATTAGTGTTTTCTCTTTATTATAATAGGAGTTCTGTAGGCATTAGGAGAGAAACATTCCAGCTATCCAGAGCTGCCTGCAGGAAGGTTTAGAAGACTGATAATGAGCTGCTAAGTGCTGCTGCTGTGTGACTGAAGCTTGACTCCAGTGCTGTGATTTAGGTGCTTCTAGTGTATCATGCAGAACACTATTTATATACTAAGCACAGGCCAAATTACTCGATCTTGGCTGCACATAGGCTACATAATTTGTATACAGTCTTTCTGTCTGGAGATAAGAAGAAAGTTTTGCACTTCAGAATAAAAGGGCAAGAAGTCCTTGGTAACGGTTAAAGCTACCAAGGATAACCAAATTCCCAAAAAACTAATCACCAGGTGGATAATCACTCAGATGAGCATCTCTGAAAGAGCTAGTACCACAGAAAACTCGAGAACAAAGTGACACGGAAACAAAAGTGAAAAACTGTAAGTGTCAAGAGAATGACATAGAGGAAGGAAGAAGTTACGTTTTAAGTACCAATGCAGGGTATCCAGCAAGCGCTAATCTCCAAGCACAAGCCAACAACATATTGCATCAGAGTCTCCGAAGACCGATAGCACAGTGGTTGATGTCAAAGGAGGTGTGAAGGATGGGCAGGATTGCATTTTTTTGGCTGTGGGTTTCTGAAACAGTATGACAAAATGTTGCACGTCTACTGTGCCTAATGTTGTAGCTGTTTATTTCACTATAATTAAGTTTTTGTGTCTGCCCATTGTTCAGTCTTTTAACTCTCCTCCCATTACAATCTTAATAGCTTCCCACCGCTCACGTGCCAAAACCGCCAGCAGCCACCTTCACACCTTCTGGCATTTTAGATAGTCTAAAATAAATGACTATTATTAGGGCTGGAAACATTTAACAAATGTGTCTGTAAATTGCAATGCACATATTGCACAAAACGAAGCAAAGCAGCACAAAAAATGTTTCTAAACAAAGCAACTTTACTAGCTTACTTGCATGGTAAAATGCGGACAACATCATTCTGCTTGTAACTCTCAATGCAGACAGCACAATGATCAAAGTCCGGGTCTGTTTCCTAAAATGAATAGAATGAAAATTCAAGTCAACAGTTCGGGCTACAACGAAAGTAAATGTCACTTCGATTAGTAGGTGAATTGCATTGTGACAAAGTGGCTATTACCAGGAAGAAGCAAGAACAATGACCGGGTTGTTATGCTCCAACATAACTTGGAAAAAAAATCCAAATACCTCATGCATATAGAAGCTCACTCCTCATTTGGAGCTGGGAGCCAACTACTGGAAACTTAAGCTACAGTGAATGTTATAATATTCAGTTGAACCACTGTAAAGTACAGTAGCAATTTTCCTTGAGGATTTACTTCAGCTTTGAGCTAAAACATGTATTTTATACAAGTTGGGGTAGGTTTTCATCATTACAGTAGGAAATCTGGGATTCCCTTTTATAGCCAGGACAAGTGATTTTTATTATTTCAGAGTAGTCCAGTATTTTTGTCTGCTTCTCACTTCCAGAAGTACCGTCTTTCTTACGCAGAGATGCAAGACAGTACCAGTGGCTCCTCTTTCTCCATTTTCCAAAAGTTACCATAATCATTTTCACAACAAGAGAATTTAAAGCTTTCACTGAAAAAGGGTTGACTTCACTTGTGTGCAACTATGACATTGACAATATACATTTATAATGTTTGGGCCTGAGACAAGAGAACGTGCCTTCTCTTAGTTCATTTTCAATATTAGAAAGTACTAGCAAAACACTAAGACAGGACCCACCGCAAGACAATTAGCCACTCCTTGTCAGAGGGCAACTCCCTCCACATAGGGAGGGGGGAAAAAAAAAGAAAGAAAACAAAGACTTTTTCAGACTTCTTCCCAGAAACATAAATTCTTCCATCACTAACCAAACCTTACATTACTGAGCGTGTTGATAAAGATTAAAAAAAAAAAAATCAAGCTAAAGAAGCCTAAGCTATTTTTTCTTTAAAAAGACAGAATTCCCTTGCATTTTTGCAAAGTCAAAAGCAAAAATTAAGCACAATCAAGTTACCATTTTCCCCTCCTTAATCAGGAGGATCACTTATTCTGTGCTTCCCAAATATAGTGCTTCACAGACCAATGCTTCAGAATCAAGGACAACATTGTACCGCTCATAAAAGGATGAAAAAAGTTTAGGATTTAAGATATCATCGTACATTTCAGTTTTTATATTGGCAACAACTGCTCTTTGAGTAACATTTAGTATCTTTAATGAAATACCTCTTCATGTTTCCCCTCAGACTACTGAATATTCATCTTTTATATAAGAGATTATCCTTTATTATGTCTTTCAAATTTATTTTACACAGCTTACATATGCAATGATTCTAAGCTTACACAGTTCCACATAAACACCACCAGCCCTGGGTACTCTTACAGCAAAAATTCCTAGCCAACTAGCACACACACACACACAAAAAAAAAAAAAAAATCACTCTTAGTTACAGTTGCCAGGTAGACTGCAACAAGTTCTTAAGCAAGGAAAACGGCTTTGAAATGTACAGACTTAACAGCATACATAAATACCAACATTCACACTAAGTACTGCACTGCAGGGTGAACTCTCCAACAAGGAAGCCAAGATCAAAAATCAGAAGAGAAAAGAGAAGTCGAGAAGTGAATTGTCTCTACCAGCAAAAAATAAACACGAGGCTCAAGACTATGACGTTGAAATCTTATTATTGTACCTTATCACCCTTCTTTACTGTCCTGGTTGTCAATTTACCGATGGCTTTCTTGGCAGCATCTCCAAGACGACGCTAATAAAGTGACAAAGAAAAGAACACAAATTAACCCTGATAATTGGACTTCATTACTGTACTTTACAATGACTTAATCGGGCTAGATTCTAACACTGCAATACACTGTGACAGTAGTCACGCATAAAACACAAAGGGCACACAGTATAACCACAACTAGATTTGTCAGGAAGGAAAAATCCATCTGCAGAGCCCATGAATGCGCTCCATACGTGTGGACATAAACCCCATGGACCGTACAAAACGGCCCACACAAGTTGCACAAGCCCTGCGTAACAAAGCTAATGAAACCCTGCCAGCAGGATAAAAATTTGAAGCAACAAGCCCTCCCCCCGACTTCCATTATATTCTGTTCATACTGCTTTTTAGTCAACGTGCTGTAATACATTCCTTGTTCTCTTAAGCTTGAAATTTGGTTTTCCTTCCTTAGTAGGCTGACCTTACTCTGAGAAATAAGAGATCCTCAGTGTAACCTAGTTTCTATCTCACTATAACCTGAAACCACCAGTATTTCACAAAGAATACGCTTACGGGTCACGAAATCTAAGTCAGTCAATGCAGACTTAAATAAAGCTGAAATTACAACTAGTTTGAAGATTAACGTACATCATTGTGATTGCAAGAGGCCAATCTATATTTTATTTTTTTTAAACACCAGCACTGTTGGATGGATGGAGGGAGCCACTTCTGTGCTTACAGAGCTGGTTCCTGCTGCAGTGCCCCAATAGCCAGCCAGTTAAGAATGGCTGTTTGGCAGCTGATTCACAGGATCCCAGAGACAGGCCACGGAGAGGAGCAAAGCTCATGTTTTCGTGTTTCAGTAACCCGAGAAGCAAGATGGGGTTTACAGTGACTGGAAAAGGAAGTTCATTTATTTCCTCCCTCGTCTCAGTCTTATACTAAATATTCTGTCTTTGAAAGCAGCAGAGCATGGAAACTGCATGTATCAAACTCCCATATACATGCATTTTTTGTGCCCACCTCCTTTATAAGCTTGAAAATTAATTCCTTCCAAAGTTTTCTTTCTCCACCTCGTATCATACTTTTTCTTTCTCTGCACACAAGCTGAAACTAACTGGGCTGCTTTTATTTGAAAAACACATGCAAGATCTCAGAAGGCCACCACATCTGTATATACTGTGTCAAGACCGCTAACTGTACCATCATCACTCTGGGAGTACATAAGCACATGATTTTTTGGTGTTTTCCACAGAAGAATGGCTCTTTCATTTTTCAGGACGGGGGGAGGCAAGGACTCAACTACTGAAATACAGCTATGCAGGAAAGGCAGCTTCAGAAACAGAGCTGAGGATGGGGGCGTTCTTATACTTCCTAAAGTCCGAAATCACATCCTGACTTCCACGTGCTAGAAACTGCTTGATCCAAGCAAATCTACATTACATGTCCTGAAACGGGCACGCTGGCTCAAGCACTTCATGCCACAGAAGATGCTGGCATGCTGCTCTTTTACTGAAATAGATTATCATTGCACAACCAGAAGAGCGATTACCAAGAAAGGAGCAAAGCTGCAAAGACACGGTGAGGCATTTAACTTAAAGGGTTGATACTACCACCTACAAATTGGGAGTATTATTTATATTTAGTTGTATTGCGTAAGTTTGCATTTGCAGTAAAAAAAAAAAAAAAAGAAAAAAAATCTTACCTAAGATACTGTCTTCCTACTGAAAGCATTACTATTTCATCAAAACTCTTCCAAAACATATACATGTTCTCTTACATAAATACACTAAACAATAGCCTTCGTCTCCTCCATTTAAGAGCTGTTTGGGAAGCACATTAAGCTTTCAGGTTAGTCTTCATGGGAATTTCTATTTGCTTGAAAACTTGTAAAACAGATATCTTGTAATGAAAGGATCTAGTCTGATATCAGAACATATCGCTGATGCCAGTCATATTTCGCAATGAAAAGCGCTTACGCTACTGACTAACAAGTACACTTTTGTCACTGCAAAATTTTCTAATTTTAACAAATACTTTCATAAGCTAACATTGGAAATGATCGGGACTTGCTATTTTGTTAAATTAGCGCATAGGCATACAGAATACTTGCTTTTAAAACACGCAGCTGTCTTGATGGAAAAGGCCACCACTACATGCAAAGGAGTTTCATAACTCTGCTCTGGTGGAAGTGCACAAGAGTAACCACGTGAAATACTAGTATCTACTTGCACTATCTGCAAAACACAGCATGTTTCTGATGTTTTCTGAAGGGGTGAGGGGCTGGGAGGAGAAAAAAAAGGAAGTGTGCTTCTACACATAACTTAAAGACAACAGCACTGCTTAAAACAAGTTATTTCATCACTAAAACAGTGCAGCGTTCTCTCTGTGAGAGCTCTTCAAAAAAAAAAGCTGTAGCTGTCGCCACCTTCTTATTAAAGTTTAATAAGTTCAGCTTTTTAAACAGCATAAAATTTTCATCAAGTTTCCCCTGACCTTTGTAAAAATCTTAAGCAAGAAAAAAGGTCATAAAAGCCCTTTCCCCACGGAGCAGCTGTTTCGAAACATGGGCGTTTTGGAGACGCCTAGAATCACGTAGGGGATGCAGCAGGCACAGTTTAGTACTCCACAGACATTCACTGAGTAACCGTTATATTTAAACTTTTACCATCCCAAGGGACCTCACTAAGCACCAGTTACAGTGTGGTCATTTCAGAATGACATCCTTAGGAAAGTCTACAAAACACCCACGGGACCTGCAGCATCAGACGTTATTTCTAGAAACTAGGAAGGAAATCCGTTGTCACAACTGAGGCTTTATAAGTTCGCGTTTGTTTTAGGTTTGACAAAGTAATACTCAGTGGAACTTTTAAAGATTTTAAATAATAAATAAGTCTTTAATGGAACATATCCAAAGCGTTGCCTCGCAGTGGGACCCTCCACGTCACCCCTAACTCAGAGGGAAGAGGGAGCTCTGACTACAGCAGCTCTACAAATGATCCTTGATAGAGGGATACAAAGGCAAAGAGCACAACACGCTTCCCGAGCTTTACTGCTCCTTCCCAATGAAAGCCATGGCACACTATGGAGGCAGTGGGTCAGTAAATCCACGTTAATACAATACAAAAACATCACTTTCAGAATTTAACCCACACTTGAGCTGATGACTTGATTTATTCAGGACATCTGAAAATGACCAGCTTCAGTTCAAATACACAAGTTCTTAAATTAGAGATGAAAAAGAATATAAGAAAGACATTTTAGACAAGATACTACTTAAGTTACAGGACCAGTAGAATCAGGCAGTCTGTATCTTGGGCTATCTTGAACAAAGCTGGAAGTTAGTGAAAAATCACTGAGCAACTCTATCCCTTAGTTTTCCTTAATCTAACCTTCATGATAAATGACAGTTTGATAATGCCTTAATACAACATCTGTATTATTTTATCTATTACTAAAGCTATCCTTAAAAGCAAGGACAGAATTTGTAAGGAATAAGGACTTGCAGGAAATAATCCAAATGGAGCTCTATGACTCATCTCCTTCCCCTAGCTAACAAAAATTCCCCCACAAAAATAAACATTAAGCCCTGTGTCCCACTACACAGGTTCATTCAGTTTCAACTCTCCTACCCATTCCCAACGTCCTACGGAAAAGTAATAGGCTATACAGCATGTAATAGTCAGCCAACATAGATTCTCTCTTCCCCTTTGACTCATACTTATCAAACAAAACAAATATTTTGCCTCAGTTCTGTTCTTTCCTGTTGTATATAATAAGATCCTGCATTGGTGCTCAGGATAACAACAATTTGCTATGTAAAATCCACGTCCAGCAGCATACTCTGCCTCTGAACAAAGATGTTTGGAATACTGGTCTGATGAACAGACCTTAGAGATTATTTGCTCTCTGTTGACTACTGTACATAGAAAATCATTTCCACAGCTTAGAGAAGCAAGGGAGTTCCCTTACCTGATTCCTGTCACGTGCACTTGTGTACCTGATTTTCTGGATGAAGTAAAATATTAACCATGCTGAAGAAATTATCATCAAAACAATGAATGATATTGACACAAAGACTAGAGAGCCCCGACTGAAGTTTTTTGGAGGAACACGGGATCCCACTGCTATTGCCATCAAGACAGAGATATTCTTTTCCAAATAATTCAGGATCTCCTTAACCTTTGATTCTGTAATCATGACAGCAACAATGTCTCCAGTTCCTACGAAAACAGAAAGAAATATTTAATTGCCACTTAAAATTAACAAGGCATGCTGCTCACAAGACTTTCCAAATATAAAACCATTTGACAACTTGAAGAAATTAATCTAAGCCATCCGTGGAAGGATGGCTTAGATTTCCTTAGAAAGGAAATATACTTCTTAGTACTCATGGCTTGTCCTTCAAACCCAGATTTTCAAATTAGGGTGTTAACATTCAAACACTTTGTAGCTCCACATGTAGTAACAGATCTCTAGCGACAGCTACACAGCACTTCTTGGTTATAACTACTGTGTGCATTCTGAACTAGCTTTAAAAAGTACTTTTGTTCCAGATTTGAAGCTGTGAATACCTATACAGGCAACTCATGGAAAAACCTTTAGAACATGAGCTCAGTGATGTTGCTGGGGTGGTCTTAGTGTATATAGAGTTGAAAACAAGTTGCTCTGGAAAGTTACACAGTTTCCTCTATACGGTCGCCAGGATTTCACAAGTGAAAAAGGCTGTCAGGGACTTGAAACCACAATTCCACCAAGGGAGCAACAAAGCTAAACTTCTACCTAGGTCATTTCAGACAAAAGCAAAAGTGAGGAGTAAGTCTGACTGCAAAGTGGAAGAGAAATGAAGCAACTTCAGCAGAAGTTTGAGTGCTGATTTTATCATCCATACAAACGCATGCTCAACAAGATACTGAGGAGGCTGTCAGATTTCTCAACTCCACTTTGAACCTGTAGTTCATCTTGCTTTCCTAATGTCTTTCCTCCAGACTGCCTCCTGTCCCTAAGGGAAAAGTTCTGGCACAAGGATTCCAAGAGAATCACTAAACTGCATGACCAGCTGAAACAGAGTGAGAGCTCTTCAGAGCAGAGAGAGCATCTACATGTTAAGAACTGAAGCCCCACACAGAAGAACATTTCCAACTCGGGAGAATTCTGATCTATGTTCAAAGAAAGCAAAACTGACAGGAAAAATGAAGCCAGAAAGAAAAAACACCTTAGGAGTGCCATTTTCCCCCATCCAGATCTATTTTCTTCCTATACTAAAGCCCTTTCAAGGTCTCTTTTCAAAACCCTTGCAGAGTCTGCTCATCTGTTTGCTCCAATTCACATTCCCTGAGAGAAGAACTGTAAAACATGAATGACTTCAACACTGAGACTCTGGATTTAGAATGGATTTAAGTTACAGAATGTAAGTTGAGAGCTGATTTAAGTTACAGAGAAGTTAATGTGACAGTGATGACAGAACATGAGGTCCTATTTTAATGCAAGAAAAATCAGTCTTTTAATCAAAATCCTATTTTTAAGTTATTGTACCCAGAAAATTATGTAGGAAGACTGAAAAGAGCAGCATTTCTGAAACCCAGAGTACAATAAGTTGCGTGACAGTCCCAAACAGCCACATAATTTTCCAAAATGGGGCTTTACTACAGCTGTGTAATAGTCTTATAAACATTATATCATTATCCTTTCCATTTGCAAAGTCAAGGAGTCACATTTATAGTCACTATCCTCAGTTTTCAGTTTCCTAGTATTTGCGATAAAGTTGATAGAACTACTCAGAAGAATAAGAACTGATACTCTCATAAATTAGAAATTGCACAATAATTCCCTGAAAACATAATCCACAGTCTCAAAATTGATCTCCCTGTAAAATCTTAACGTTTCTTTAAAATTGAAAGTGTAAAGGCATAGTCAAGAATTCATGCCTTGACCTAGTAACACGGGCAAGACTGTAAGTAGGCAAAGAATGTTCAGTGTTTCCTCCCGAGTATTTTAAAAACAAATGTCACAGTAATTCGAAAGCTTTAAATAGCAACCAGAAACCAACGTAATTTATGGATACAGATTATTAAATCATTAGTACACCACAGATTCACACAAAGTCCACTGCAGATCAGTCTCCAGAGATGCTTCTCCAGTTTCATGAAAGCTAACCAAGGGATTTAGTGAGTAGCAAGGCTCAGAAACAGAGTGAAAATCCACCACCTGCTTTATTATTGGGGAACACCGCTTGGATTCCTATTCTTCCAGTCAGGAAGGGATGCTATGTAATGTCCTTGCCCAGACCTGCAGCAGTTACAGGACAAAAGCCACGTTTCCTGCAACTTATAGAGTCTGTGTGTAGATGTAGCATGTACTCCTGCAACCCCAAACACTGCAAGATCAATCAAGTGCAGGTAATTTATACTGCTTGATATTCTCCCTAGGCTTCACTTCTGTTCTTCATGTCTAGTTCTGCTAGTGAAGAGAGGGAGGAGGGACTGTTTTCCCTGGAGCATGCATTCTGTTATGCTTCCCCGGTAGGTATTTATTTGCACCGTGGAATTATGGTAGCATTAAAACATCAGTCAGAAGTACCCAGTGTAGCATTCTGGCATGATTTATACGGGGTATCTGCAAAGCAAACCTGGCTAAGGTCTTACGATCCCAGTCCAGTTTTGCCTGAATCAAAAGCTGCAGTCTCTACCTATTCCCTGCTGCCCAGGGAAGGTGACAAAGCTGACAGCTTGTCGTGCGTTTTATATAAGGCCTAGCACAAAGACAACCTCTGGCATTACTGCAAAGTAATTTGCATGCCAAACAACTCAACTGGGAACAGCCAAAGTGCTACTGCTGCTTCTGACCCTGCAAGAAGCAAGGAAAAATCACAGAGAAGAAAAATAGTTTGTGCCTGTGTAACGTACTGAAACTCAGTGGAAACTGGAACTTCATCCCTACTTTTGTCAGGGGCATCACCCTAAATAATTATAGAAAGAGGTCTCTGCTCAAGAAGAATTGGGGACCAAAGGAGACATTGACTCATTTTAAGCACTTCCAAACCTTGCATTTCTGAAATGTAAGTGGAGAAAAAAAAAGTCTCAGGTGACTACAGGAAGACTAACAGTGTTTGTAGAAGTTAGAATATGGTATTACTATATAATCTTATGAAAAGCAACGCTCTCCTCAGCCAAGAGCACAACATCCAGAGAAAAGCAGTAAGCTGAAATGCTAACTAAAGCCAACCAGCTACACACAACCACAGACCACAAGGTAGGACAGATAACAGGCCCAAGATAAATATTTACATCTGTAAATATTATAAGTCATTGAATTGCCATCATCCAAACCTAGACAGCTTTCTAGCTGCAATTCTACTATGTGAACACTTAGTTAGGACAGCTATGCAACTTTATGTAGGAAAAGGAAGAAAGTAGCAATGAATCATTAATTCTGTATAGTATCGCAGTGGGAGAGAAGAGAAGAGGACTTAACAGCTAAGACACTCAAAAACAGAGATGAGAAAAACCAGCAACATCCAGAACCGTCTCCTATAGAGCTCCTAATGAAACTGCTTTGCTCTCTCACTAGTCTACCTACATCTAGCAATCCTAAAAGAATACTTATAGAAAGTCAACAGAAAGTTATTTCAAAGAAAAATGACTACGCTCATCATTAGCAAATAATTATTTTAATTTTTTGTTAGTTGTTGGCTACCAAGACTTTCTCAGGAGCTCAAAAACAGATAACTGTGGCAGGCAAGGTTCAAAGAGGAGAACTTAAACACCTCCATGTCTTTCCTTTGGAGGACACAGGGAACAGCCGCCTGGTAAAATGCAACTGCCAAATGGCCGATTTTTTTTTTTTTTTCTTCCTGAACTTGTAAACAGCCTAAGCAGCTGCTTGGTCAATACTGAGGAGGCAGGGAGGGCAAGACAACTCCTCCTGGGCATCCTGAGCAGCCTGGCGCAGAGCTGCTGCTACGGCGGCAGTGATTCAGCCTCCTCCCCCGCAGACAGGGAGGGCCCAAACCTGAAATCCTACTTCATGTGTGGCAAGTGTTGGACCACCCGTAAGAGGCACCAAACTATTTTGATCCAATACGGCAACGCTTAGAGAGAACTGAGAACTGCAACAAAGGTTAGCAGTTTTCTAATGACTGACGTTTTCAGCTAAAATCCTCGTAATTTCGTAAGCCTTTGACTGTGCATGCTGATGCTTGTTGCAGACACAGCATGAAGATAAACTGCGGTCATCTCACACTTGCAAAAGACTGTTCTCTCTTAAAATAGCAGACTGCATTTCAGTGGTAACTGAGGCCTTTCATGACTTAATTCTGAAAAACCTAAGCTTAACATATTCATCTGAATTTCACTGGTGGCAGTTTCAGAGTACTTCCTAAAACAAAACAAAACCACCCTTCTACTGAAGGTAAAGAGTAGCGTAGACAGTCACTTGTAGCCTGGACTTAGGGCATGATTCAGACATCAAAAACCCAACATACAAATGCCGTTGCCTACTCAATTGCAGTAGTGCAAACTTTATAACGATAAAGTAATTGGAAGGGAAACCGCCCATCTTCACAAACCAGACTTCTCTATTCTTGTATTAAAATTTGTTAACTATGTTAAGCACTTCTCAACACATTCAATTGGGAATAAAAATTTGGCAACATACAGTATCCAGCGCCCAGGAAGGGCATCAGTCTCATCACCGAGTGACAGATCTCTTGGAATAATACTACGTAAAAATGAGACCACAGTAAGGAGCAGTTACTTGTTGGAAAATTCTATTATTCAAGCAATTTCAGATCTGTAACAGCTTTTTTATAAGCTCATACACTGACATTTTACACATGCAAAATAAAGACATGCTTAAATAAGAAAGAAGATCTAATGGCATTTCTGAAGTCTACTGTTCACTTCAGCCATACAGAAAACTGTATCGCCATATTCTAGCCTTTGGCTATTTTGAGTAGAAGACAAGTTGATGAACGGTTTCCAGACCTTCCTGTGAAATGACCTTGCGGATGCAAGCACTAATTCAGGAACTTACAAACAAAGGAAGAATATAACTTTTTTTCCTTCCCCAGGAGACAAGCTCCTTCAAAGTAGTTTACTGGTTTGAAGGAGTTTCATTCCTTCTCTCTTCTACCACCAGGTAATAAAATATGGAGGGAGAGGGCAGCTGTCACATACAGAGGTTACTTCAGAGGCCCTATTTGCATAGGCAAAGATGACGACAA